CCTCCTCTGTAGGATGCACACACTCATGACCAGTGTGTGTTGTTTGTTGTTCTGGAAGGCCTGGTAGATGAAGAGAGCTTTGATTGGCTAACAAAATATACAGGAGTCCTGGAGTGAGAGGCGGTCATAGAAAGCTTACAAGCTTTCCGTTAAGCAGAGATCAGTCAGGGCTAGACATAGAGAGGGTTTGGCAGAACAGGCAGGCAAGGGGCAGGAATATTTCCTTGTAGGTTGAGGAAGGGGGAGGTGGTAGAAAGGATGGTGTGTGTGTGTGTGTGTGTGTGTGTGTGTAGGAATTTCCTAGTGAGTAGACCTTAGAAAGGATGGTGTGTGTGTGTGTGTGTGTGTGTGTGTGTGTGTGTGTGTGTAGGAATTTCCTAGTGAGTAGACCTTAGATGTCTCTGAGAGGTTTAACAAACAAACCTGATGGAATCGTTGCTTAAAACATGAACAGAGAGCAGTTTGCTTCTGGGATACAGTCTCTGCCTTCACATGCCTTGTGTGCACTGAAGACAGTGCCGCCCACTGGAAGCTCTTCTGGAGTCAGCTGATCTGGAATCCAGGCTTCTTAGAGCTAAGTGATCTTTAGACACTCATCTATCTGAACCTCATTTTTTTCATCTACATACTCAGACTTTGGTAATATATAACTTGGGCAGTTTTAGGGATTAGAAATGTTCTGTAGGAAGTTACTAGGATATATATATCATATGATATATATACACACACACACACACACACACACACACACATATATGTATATGGTGCTTACTATACAGTAGCTATTAGCATTATTGCTATTACTACACTGGAGTAGTGTAGCCTAAGACATTGCTCAGTCTTACTGTCATTGAGGGATTTCTTACCAGTTGGGACTAAGAATTTGAAAGCTCAGACTTTGTTCATTATTCTTTCCATGTATTTATCAAAGGCAGCCTTGGAGCTAGACAAGTGAAACCCAGTTCCCAGAGTCCACTACTGAGAATCTCCTTTGGCGGTTATTTTGGCACACAAGGAAAAGCATGCCACAGACCTGTCGCCTGCTGCTGATCTGCAGAGGGCAGCTTGAGAAAACATTGACACTGTGACTCTGGGCAGCATCCCATTCCGTCAATCCATATTTCAGAAGGTATCTCTGAGAGATCCAAACACCCCTTCAAAACCTGCACAATCTGGGCCTGGTAGCGCATGCCCATAGTTCCAGCCTCCTGGAGGCCGAAGCAAGGAGAATCACTTGAGTCTGGGGATTTGAGGCCATACTGGGTTAGAGTAAAATGTAGACTTTTAGAAAGCATCATAGCACAAAAGTATCATAAAAGTATCATAGCACAAAATTCCCTGTATCCTAAAATCTGTGTTGCACCTGGTGCTCTCCATTTCTTACTCCGTTCAGGAGAACAGAGGTATGGAGGAAGGTCAGTGATGAGCTGGTATGGAGAAAGGTCAATAGTGAGTGGGTATGGAGGAAGGTCAATAGTGAGTGGGTATGGACGAAGGTCAAAAGTGAGCTGGTATGGAAGAAGGTCAGTAATGGGTTGGCATCGAGGAATGTCAATAGAGTTGGTATGGAGGAAGGTCAATAGTGAGTGGGTATGGAGGAAGGTCAATAGAGTTGGTATGGAAGAAGGTCAATAATGGGTTGGTATCAGGAAGGTCAATAGTGAGTTGTGGGTAACTCTTTTTTTAATATTTATTTATTTATTTATTATGCATACAATATTCTGTCTGTGTGTATGCCTGCAGGCCAGAAGAGGGCACCAGACCCCATTACAGATGGTTGTGAGCTTGCTGGGAATTGAACTCAGGACCTTTGGAAGAGCAGGCAATGCTCTTAACCTCTGAGCCATCTCTCCAGCCCCTGTGGGTAACTCTTGAAGCTGTCTGATAGGCAAAGGAAGCTTCATATCCTCTCATTCACTATTTTGTACACACATTATTTCAAATAGGAAGTTGCTTTTAAGCACACGATGCTGCAAAGCATTAAAAAGCAAGGATCACCTGCTTTCGTGTGTTTGTTTCCTGTGCTCCTCACTCCCGGGGTAAGAAGGGTTATGTCTCTGAGGGGCTAAGAGGGTACAAGTTGGGGCTAGAGCTCAAACATCCCTGGCACGGAACAGGAATGAACTGCCTTGCTTGATGGGCAGCCTGGCTGTGCAGTGGGCAGAAAGGAATATGGGGAAATGCCGTGCAGGTGGAGAAGACGGCTGTTTTGCAAGGAGACCGTGGTAACAATGTACAATTGCTGTAGGCTGACCCATTGGGATGGGTGCTAACATGCCAACTGTGCCTATGTGCCAACCTGAGGCCAAAGGGAAGTGGAAGAGGCGGCTCTTTCGGAGTTCAGATACCAGAGAACTAATTTTAGTTTTAAAAGTCCCTCCTTTTCAAGTGGCTTTTAAATGACAAAAGGAAACATTTTGTTCCAGGTGACAGATTCCCAAGAATTGAAACTAACCCAGAACACCATTATTTTCGGATGTGAATCATCCCTTTGGTCCCCTGCTGTGTCTCACTCAAGAGGGTCTTTCAGCATGGGAAACATTACTTCACATTGGTAACGATGGTGCACATCTGGAATCCCAGTGCTCAGCTGAGGCAAGAATTTAAGGCCACTCAAGAAGAAAAACAAATGGAAAAGACAAAAGATGAAAGTGAATCCCCACCCCCACCTTGCTCGCTCTCGTCCTTGCCTTATCTTTCTCCCTCAGGACCACTTTTCTTTCTTTTGACAGTGTTACGTAGCCTGGGCTGCCCTCAACACTATGTAGCTAATGCTAACCTTGGATTCCTGATCCGCTTGCCTCCACTTCCAAGTCCTGTGTCCCACCACACTGAACTTTTGCTTCTTTTTCCAGTCAGGATCTCATTATGTAGTTCAGGCTGGCTTTGAACTTGAAATCCTCCTACCTCAGCCTCCTCAGTGTGCACAGGGCACTGGGCTGCCATTTGCAGATTGAACTGCCCTCTACGTGAGAGCTAGAGAAGGCAAATGCTTTCCCTCAACTTAAGCATCTACATGCTTTGCTTAGCTGCGTGACAGTGAGAAGTCACTGATTCATCTCTGAGACGGTTTCCTTCACTGGATATGAGAATGAAAATAAAAATAAAATAAAAACAAAACCAGTATATGTATATATGCACATGACAAGCAGAACTGAGAATCAGTATTGTTAACCTGTCAAGAGCACTGAGAAGTCTGGTTCCTGGAACTCACCCAGACCAGCTGCCTCCGGGACCCTGGAAGGCCTGGCTATGGTGGGAGTAGAGAAGGTGGTGCTTTTTTGGTTTCTGAGCAGTGAGGCATCAGGCACAGAGTGCTGAAAAGAACGGAGGAAGATGGGTTGCTCACCACCTCCCTCTGGCTTTAGCACAACCTTTTCTTTGCTGAGTCAACTCAGAGGGAGCCCGGGGAGTTCCAGCGGTGTTTAAGTGGCGGTTTTAGTTTTAAGGATGCTCCCACCAGGAAGCTGCCTGAAGACTCGTGACTAAAAGCATAAGGAACCCAGGGTGGGCTTGCGGAAACCACTCTGCTTGGTGTATCTTGTTCTGTAGCGTGGGGCAGTATTCTTGCCTTTGCAAGGTCTTTGTGTTGATAGCCGGGCAAGTGGCTCATAGCAAACGCCTGTTACCTGCCCACTTCCCTTTCCTGCCTACTGGACGACCAGTCACGGCCCTGATACCAGCACAAAAGCCTTATTCTCTAGCTGCCTATTACAGTGGTGGCCACGATTCACTTCATCATCCCAGACCTAGGAGACAACCTCTACATCAACTGAAGGAAGACACTTTGGGGTTTTAATGTATGAAGCCACACAGGTTCCACTTGTCAAAGCCAGGATTAGGACCTATTTTGTGTGGCCTGCCTCTTGAGTGCCACGTGTGTAAGCTCAATGAAGCTGGAGGCTACACAAAGGACAATCTTATAAGGACCCAGGCAAAGGTGTCTGACAAACTGGCTAGTCTGTAAATAACTCAGCTTCTGGGTGGGGTTCAAAGGGCAGAAGACAAAGCTGCGGCTAGAGGCAGCCTGGCAACAACCGGAGGAGGGCTGAGAACACTGCTCTGGCTCTGAAGGAAATCTCAGCCACGCTCTACCAGTTTCAGGAGCCTCCCTGTGAGGGGGAGATGGATCCTTTATTAGGAAGTAGACAAATATATTATTGGTAGCCTTCTTGCTGTCGCCACCCACGAAACAGCCTCCTCCTCAGCACCTGACAGCCCTCCACTTCCCACCCCATAAACAAGAGGGAGTTGAGTCTCTGCAAAGCCTTCTCCTCAGCTAGACTGCAGGAGCTAGAAAAGGCGGGCTGAGTCATCTTCCTCTTCAGAGGAAACCAAAGTGGACCGGAGCCACAGAACAAAAGGATGTTCTCTAAGTAGATCATAGACTGCTCTTAGGAGGTCCCAACCCCTCCATCCCAGAAAGTTCCTACTTTCAGCATCACGGGCGCCATCCCCTCTTCTCTGCATCTACGTATCTGATCAGCAGGAGTGTACTAAACAGTCAGCTAACAGAGGCATACATTCCCGCCGGGTCAGGTATGGAGCCACATAGACGAGGTCCAATGTGGTTGGAGGTGGCTGCCTTTTACCTTAAGACTTAGGCCAATGTTCTCGGGAGGGTAAAGGATGAGTCTTCAGAGCATCCTTGAACTCCTGAGCCTTCTCCTTCTACTTCCCAAGTGCTGAGATTACTGGCGTGAACCAACATACTCATGAGACTAATTCTTTAAGGCTTCCTTCACGCACAGCTCTATTTTCTGAAACCAGTGCCTTATAGCAGAGGCCCTCTTCTGTTGTCTCCTCTAGCACAGCGTTACTCCAGGGCATGGGTGATGCCCCACAGGGCTCATACCATACCTAGTGGGAAGGAGGAAGCATGGGCAGTTCAGGCCTCTTGCTCAGAATGAAGGCATATGACAAGGATTTCCAGATGCTCAGAGACCTACTGCCAAGCCCTGCTGCTCCCCCACAAACAACAAAACCAACTGATACCCACGTCTGTGCATAGGTCCACATAATAGAGGGGGTTTTATTACTTTTTGAAGAGAATGAATTCATACCGTCATAGATTATATAGAGCTGTTAATGCTCTGACCACTTGAGAAATCATATTACACCATGATGAGAAGTAAGAAAGTCAAACAAAATCTCTGGTCATTACCTAGGGTACAAGCAATTATTTTGACACTACAGAATGCAAAGCAAGATTCCGCTCGGCTGCCTTCACTGCACCCTGCTGAGGTTGTCCTTGGTGTGCACCACGCTGTCCGTTCGCCCTTCAGGAAGATTAGCCCATGTTCTGTCGGTTGCCATAGCCCCTGGGATGGGTGTCCTTCCAGTCATCCCACTCTCGCAGTCTCTGCAGAGTTTTCTCGTCACCCTCGTCATCCTTTTGTTCTTGATCTTCCTGCTGCTCAGCTGCTCTTTTCAAATCAGCTAGCAGAGGAAAATGAGATAGACGAGAGAGAAATTGAAGAAAACCAAAAAAAAAAAAAAAACCAAAAAACCCACCAACATTAGGGGAGCTCAGCCTGGTTCTGAGCACAGCCCCAGACAATGGGAAGAGAGCACAGCCAGCTGCCCAGGAACGGCACGAGTGGGAAGAACATGTCTATTACTAAACATATTACATGCTATGGTAGCAAGTAAAGATACCTCCAGAAGTTTCCAGAGAAGCCAAGATCATAGAGGTGTCCTTCACTAACAGATTCTATTTTGGGAAAGAATTCTTGCTAAATGACCAACAACCCCTTCATCAAAACAAAAAAACAAAATCAAACAAATACCCCCCCCATAGTCCTACCCACAGCAACAGTAAAAGCCCAAGAAACCCGAGATCATAGAAGTTAAAAAAAATATATGATTTGTGAATTTCCAGAGATGTATGTAGCATCATAGGTAATGATTTCTCTACCAATTTGCTTCATTCATTTCTTAAGGTTAAAGAAATTAGGTATATGTAGCTCCACAAGGGTTATGAGCACCAGGAGCCCTCAGAGGGCAGAAGATGCCCTGGAACTGGAGATACAAGTAGTTGCGAGGCATCACGTGGGTACCGGGAACTGAACCTGCTCCTGCAGACAAGAGCAGTGAATGCTCTTAATTGCTGAGTCATCCTGCTAGCCCCAACTTCCTTTATTATAGTCACACAATCTTTCCATGTATTTACTTTTCCTTGAATTTGTTAATGTTACAGAATTCTTACACTGTCAACCATGCTTAAGAATCAAATGAAAGAAAAGGTTCCATGGACAGTCTCATCCACTCCGATATTTGACTTGAGTATCTTTTGTAATTTCAGATTCTTTGATAAATTTTTTAACAAGAGTTGGAATTTAATTGCTCTGTAGGTCTTCAGGTTTCCAGTAATTTTGCATTAAATAAACTTCCTCATATTTATCTCTGTTCACATCTCAATAATACAACACCCACAGGATTTTCTGAGAAAAAATATAATATATTATATAATATACAAAAAAATATGTATAGTTTGCAGCTGGTGAGATAGTTCAGTCAGTAAATGCTAGTTGCACAAGCATGAGGACCCGAGTTCAGATCCCCAGCACTGACACAATACATGACCGCATTTCCAGCACTGGGGAGGAGGAGACGCAGATCTTTGGTGCTCATTGACAAGTCAGCCTAGTTCAGTTAGAGAGCCTGTCTCAAAAAAATAGACAGCAATTGAAGAAGACACTTGACACCTGATGTCAACCTCTGGTCTCCATTTAGATGCACATCCATGTACAGATCATACATACAAAGACACAGAGAGAGACTAACAGACATACACACACCAAAGTCATAATAAAAAATTAGCATAGTAATGACCTAAAAACTGATACATGAACCAAAGAAACGAAATAAGAGGAGATTTTAGAAGTAAATTCAAGAAGTTATGGCCAACAGATTTTCAGCAAAGGTGCTAGGAACACACTCAGGGAACAGTTTTTGCAGGAAATGGTGTGGGAAAATTAGCTGTCTATATGCAGAAGAATGAAACTAGATCTTTATTGTTCAGTTACAGAGGACCTACTGAAAATAATCAAATATCAGACTGAAAATATAAGAAGAAAACAGGAGAAATCACTTTAGACATTGGAAGAAGTAGGGGTTTTAAAACGGATTTGTTTTTCTATTTTATTTATTTATTGAGTGTGTTTCTGAGGGGGAGGTTTGCCACAAAATGACAACTTGTGGGGGGTGTTTCTCTCCTCCCACCATGTAGGCTCTGGTGACAACTCAGGTCATCAGTCTGTGTGGCCAATGCCGTCACCAGCTGGACCATCTCGCTGGCCTGCAAGGACATTTTAGATAAGACCTCCCCCTGCCCCCGCCTCGAGCATTGGAAACAAAACCAAAAATAGACAAATTGGATCACCTCAAACTGCAACGAAAGGTTCTGCACAGCAAAAAAAAAAAAAAAAAAATTATCAACAATAAAGGGGGAACCTGCAAGTCTGGAGAAAAGCCTGCATCTAGTAAAGGGTATATATCCAGAATATACAATAGCAAACAAAACAAAACAAAAATAAAAACAAAGAAACCAAACCCTCCAAATAATATAATTTAAAAATGTACACTAGACTTACTAGACTTAAGTAGATGTTTCTCACAAGAAGACATACAAATAACCAATAAGCATATGAAGAAATGGTTAACATTATTAGTTACTAGAAAAATGCAAACCAGAAGTACAATAAGACTCAGCTTTACTTCAGTTAAAAAGCTTATGATCAGCAGGGTGGTGGTGATGCATGCCTTCAATCCCAGCACTCGAGAGGCAAGACAGGTAGATCTATGTGAGTTCAAGGTCAGCCTGGTCTACAAGAGCTAGTTCCAGGACAGGCACCAAAGCTACAGAGAAACTCTGTCTTGAGAAAAAAGAAAAAAAAAATAAGAAAGCTTACAATCAAAAAGGGAAAACATACATTCTGGAAAGGATGTGGGGAAAAAAAGAACACTTGATCATTGTTGGCGGGTTATAAATTAGTATTCTCACTGTGGGAAACAGTAGGGAAACTACCTAAAAATGAAAAGCAGAACTACCATATCATCTAGCAATATTGCTAGATATTGCTACTGGGCAAATATCCAAAAGAAATGACATGAGTCTGTCAAGGAGACATTAGTCACTCTCATGTTCACTCACGGTGTAAAGAAAATGCAATCAACCCAAGTGTCCATCATCTGAAGAATGGATAAGAAAAATGTGTTACAAGTACATAAGGGAATACTATTCAGAGACTTCAAAAGGATGAGCATCTTGTCATTGGAAGTGACGTGGATGGAACTGGAGAGCATGAAATGAAATAAGCCAGCCACAGAAAGGAAAGTACTGCACGATCTCGCTCATACACGGAATCAAAAAGATCAATAGCAAAAAAGTTGAGAGGAGAATACCAGTTACCAGAGGCTGGAAAGAGTACAGGAGCGGGATATGGATAAAAGCATGGTCAATGGGTACTGAGTTACAGTTACACTGGAGGGCTAGTTTGGGTATTCTATTGCATAGAACGGTAACCTTAAATAGGCTAACTAATAAAAGCTATGGGAGGCCTGGAGGTTAAGTTCAGAGTAGAGTGCTTGTCTAGCATATGTGAAGCCCAAGGCTCCACCCCTACAGCCACAAAGAGAGAAGAGAAAAGCTAGGACTTTGAATGTTTTCTTTTAGATATCTGCCCAGTAGTGGGACTGCTAGATCATACGGTATTTCTGTTTTTATTTTTTTTTAATTAAATGAAATGATGGTTGTGGAGACAGCTATGTTTATCTTGATTTGAAAACACTATACAATATACACATATACTGAAACATTGAATGACACCTGTAAGCTTACACATTTTTTCCTATGTCAATTGAGAATTCAGGAACAATTTGGTAAGAAAGGCTTGGTTGTTACACGTACTAGAGCTACTGATAACTGCCGTTTTTGTATGGGGTGCTGGGGAGTGAACCCAAAGCTTCATAAACACTGAGTGGGTGCTCTGAGCTCCAACTGCAGCCTCCATTTTCTTCCTGCGGTCCAGGGGGTGGGAGGCAAACAGAGGGCACTGCACTCACTAAGGAGCTCTATCACTGAGCTACATCCCTGAGCCCCAATTATCCTATCTGAAGCCAAACTGGCTAGCAGAAGTGGAAGTTTCCCGATCCTTCTCAACATATTATCTAACTTTATCTTGGCTATTTCCCTTCAGAATTAGAAACAGCTATTTCTCTGAGACATTCAGCTTTCTTTTGATAGGAATTTTTTTCTTTTCTTTTGTTTTTGACAGACCCCCACTGTGGAGACCAGGCTGGCCTTGACCTCATGTTGTCTTTACTCGCTGCTCCTGAGAGCTGGAATTCCAGGCCAATGCCACTGTGCCAGGGTGGGAATGGTACTTCAGTGGCACAGTTTAGGTTAGTAGGTATGCTGACTACTTGGCCATTTTTTTTCTAGTCTTTGCTAAAGCAAAGATCTGTGCACTTATTATAAAATATACATTTTAATGTGTTTATATCAGGATTACACACACCATTGCTTGCTGTTACTTCCTTTTTAATCTAAACTCTTCTGAGTGATACCTGTGTTGTTACACACCAAAAGCCCTAGTTCTCAAGGACAGGACAGAGTAAGACTATCAGGCAATTACTCATTTATACTCCCTTATATCGTACAGCCTTGAGTAGTTAATTACACTAACACCGCCACCAACGTAGTCACTGAGAGCTGTTGGAGCTCTTTGCATACACCTTTTTCATTTCCTCATTTTAAGACATGGTTGTATTACATGCGCACATTATCCCAGACTGTAAGTATTACACGTCCATTCCTCCTTTGCTCCCACTTAGTATTGGTTCTACGAATAACCATCCTCCCGTCATCACCAATGCCTCCCACTACTGCGGTTGTCTGAATCTCATTTTCTAGCAAATTCTTCAGGGAGGGATCATGGGAATAGTAACTCTTAGTTCCTGCATTAAAAAAACCATCAGTACTCTCTATACTTAAGAGTTTTTATCAGATACGATATTCTTGGCTCCTATTTTTCCTCTTTGAGGATCTTAAATATTTGCTGCTTTAGTTTTTCATAGCATGAAGCACATCATAGTTCACAGGTAAGCTAAGACTTTTTTCCCCTCAGAAGTAAATAATGTGCAAAATGTGGAATATCTATGACATTTAACTTTTTAAAAAAATTATTTGAACTAGTCTTATTCATTCTGGGTGAAATATCTCAGGAATATGTTTTTTATTTGTTTGGTTTTTATTTTTTTCAGCAGGGTCTATATCCTGGAGGCTTGCCTCTGCCTCAGCCTGAATGACAGACTTTCTTGTTTAGATAATCCCATCATTCAAATGGCAGCTCTTTTTGCTATTTTTGATATGCCATATTATCCAAAATCCTCTTTGTTTCTTTATAGTTTTCCTTGTTTAAAAAATATTTAAAATC